TTTCCTTACTGATACACATGATCCATTTAGTTTAATTTACGAACCTCTTTTGCGACGAACACCTTTTTTTCTTATGCAAGGGAACGGACATTTGTTTAAAGAATAGTGGGATGTTACGAACCTCTGTTTAACGGACGATGCCAATGTGTATGAAGGATTGGAGCCATGAACATAATCCATCGATCCTTTTGTTCAGAGTCTGCCGGCATGCCGTTGTTGTGTTCAGGTGCATGAGGTACATTTTGCAAAAAAAAGAAGAAGAAGAAGAGGTGCAAAATGTACGATGTAAATGATATGTATGCTAGCTAGCTATATCAGGGGAACGTCAGGATAAAATAAACACATCTCTCTCTCTCTCTGTGTGTTATGTTATGCTCCAAATTCAAGTATAAAGAGGAAGGCTAACTTCTGGCGAGCGAGCGGAGCGAGGCCCATCGCCGGTAGGCTTGGGCCCGACAGGGACGTTCCACGTTAAGATCTCGTGTCGCCTACTTATCGTCTCTCTCTCTCTCTCTCTCTCTCTCTCTCTCTCTCTCTCTCTCTCTCTCTCTTATAGAAGCGTCGTTATGATAAAATAAATACAAATATCAATTATACGAAAGTAACCAACAATAGCAATTGGATTTAGTTTTGACGTAGGTAACCTGTGTTATATATACCTCTTGTAAGCCACTGCACATGATAAGTTGATCAGTTGTCAATCCCCGGCGTTTGTAACTCCCCCGATATAGTGAAGTTTGGCTGGCTGGCGCCCGTGGTTTTTTCCCCTTCGTGTTGGAGGGGTTTTCCACGTTAAAATCTCGTGTCCCCTGCTTGGTCTTCGTTCTTCGTTGAGTTGATTTCCTTGTCGTATCTCTAATACTCTCTCTCTCTCTCTCTCTCTCTCTCTCTCTCTCTCTCTCTCTCTCTCTCTCTCAGGAGCGTTGTTATGATAAAATAAATACAAATATCAATTATATGAAAGTAACCAACAATAGCAATTGGATTTATCACATTTGTAATTTTCTGTGATCGTGTGGAATATAGAACGGGCACTATGTTGTATATCAAATGTCAGCTAAAGATGAAAAACCAGTTAAAGAACCAATCCTATTCACCTTGCCCCCTTGTTCACATGCGAAAAGTTGTACTGTCTATGCTTGAATTGTCCATTCCCTTGACTTTTTACTAGTAGGCAATCCATATTTAACAGTACATATCATTATGGTTTGGCAACTACAAGGAAGCACTTGTAAAATTAACTAGTTTGTATTAACCTTATACTTTTATCAAAAACAAGTCGTGTTTGCTGATCATGATTTTTCAGTTACCATAACTAACGTAGTCATTCTGCATCATGTAAAATTGCAACTCTGTCACTCCTTTTACCTACATTGCCATTTCAAACATAAAACATGAATGGGTTAGTCAAAGGAAAATAACTCATAATCCGTTTCAGGCGCATTTTGCAGGCTAGTCATCGGAAATTAGGAAGCGCACTGCATACACGTTGTTATGTAGACACTAACGACTAATCTTCATTAAATGATCTAACCACGTTGACCCCTTTCCACAAACATTATGTTTATATTGAAAACAGCAGTGATCCAACACTCATCTGATAAGTTAGGGTAATTTCCATTGTTCCCTCACGACAACTAACTATGATGTCTTGATTGATTGGTTACCTTGATAACAATCATAGTCATTTGGCGTTACAGGATTCTAACTCCATTTACAAAATCTCAATATTATGATGCTCCCCACAAGCGTGTGAAACGTGCCCTAGCTCCCCTCACCATTCTTTTTGCACACCATTGGAGTGTCCAAATATGAAGAGGGTCTTGTGTTAGATATTAAGTAATAGCCAGCTAGAAACCACGTACCCCACTACCCAATGACGCATAGTGAAAAGGATAGCTACATATATTCACCTTAACTCCTTATCACTAGCTGCCACTCAACATTTAAGTGTCTAACCCATGTTAACCCTTTTACCTGCATTTGTCTATTTCCTTCAAAAAATGGACCAATTGGCAAAGCAATCATACTATCCTTGCTCTTGTGTTTCAGAAATCTAAATGTGATGTCTATCCTTGATTTTTCACTTATGTCGAGTCCAGAAATCATTTTGTATGGCACTATAACTTCATTTACCCGCTCTCATTCTTATCATACACCTCGAGAATACATGAAAAAAAGTACTTTCCCGCAATCTTTTTCCCTCCATTTTCTTTCCCGCCATTTTCTTTGCCGCCATTTTCTCCCGCCATTTTCTTTCCCGTCATTCTCTCCCGCCACACTAAGGAGTACTGCATCGACGGAGGATGACGATGATGCCTTCATGTGGAGTGTGAAACACTGTGTGAGAGAAGTCATAAGTGTGAAACACTCTCCGATGATGATGACGAAGCTCCAAACACTTATGACTTCTCTCAGACAGTGTTTCACACTCCACCAGCAGCACTGACGCAGGAGACACAGACCGTGTCAGACGATGTTATCTACGATCGTGGACACCATGAGGCTCGTTTTATAAGTTGAGAAGTGAAGATGGCGACAAAGAAGGTGGCGGGAAAGAAGATGGCGGGAGAGAATGGCGGGAAAGAAAATGAAGAGAGAGAATGGCGGAAAATAAAATGGCGGGAGAAAATAGAGGGAGAGAATGGCGTAAAAACCTAATTTTAAATAATCCTAATATTCACCAATTAATTAATACCGATAAACAAAGTCACAAAGAACCAGTAGCAAAAAGAATCATCTAAAAAGAATACTCCTAGCTCAAATTATAGGCAATCTAGTGATTTGAGAAAATTCATGAAAATTCAAATTCAAACTTTCAAATCTAGTCAAACTTGATATCTACAGAAACTTCATAAAATTTCTAATCTAATGCAAAAATAATCAAATTAAAATACTAAAAATCCTATTTGATATGAATTTTCTAAAAAGTAGAGCAGGTGTTGGCCGAAGAGGGACCATTTGGCCAACTGTTGGCTGAAAAGTGCTTTTTGGCCAACGGTTGGCCGAAAAGTCCCTCTTCGGCCAACAGGAGGCCGAAAAGTCCCTTTTCGGCCAACAGGAGGCCGACGGGGTGATAGTTTTGATTTTTCTCCATTAGGGTGTATAGTTTCCGAATTTGCTATAAAAATCATCATAGTTTCAAAAAAAATCCACATTCTAGGCCGACCCATTGTTATATGTTAAACATGGAAGGATTGTGTCCTTAGTACTGAATGCCACCTACAAACACATAGATTGTTTTGTTCACATCATTTTACATTGTAAAAACACAGAACCAGTTGGTACATAAATACTAGTATATTCACCTTGGCTCCTTATTTCCTGCAGCTCTATCCATAACTAATCAATTGTATGTCACATCCCTTGCCTTTTGGTAACCATACACATTATTATCCTCTTGTCACGGGTATTGTCTCACTGCATTTTGCCTCCTATTCTCATAGTGCTCATCCATGAGTATTGACGTCATGCATCCCTTTCTGTTTCTTTTGTTCATCTATTTACCTATATATATTCCATAAGAACATAATGTTTTAAATGTAAAATGTCCAAGGTCAACTAGAAATGGTAATGGCTTCCATACAACAGAAATACGACTACTTATGCTAGATCACTAGGGACGGAAACACGTGGTGGAAACGGATGCATTTGTCCTATAGAGGATGGCTAGTCCTTATCAACTCCATAGGTTCTAAGTTCTAACATGGTTCTTTGCATGATGTTTTTCTTCTAAGCGCCAAAATGAAGCTAAATGTATTTGTGTGGGTGCTTACTATTGAAAGTTTTAGTGCGTGAGATATGCTGAAGTGGAGACACTTTATTATTGCTGGTAAATATTATTCTTGCCTCCTCCGTGCTACTAATGCTGAAGAGTGAAGACACCAGTGTGAACGCATAGTTTCCATTCGCGTTTTAGCAGTTCCTGCTGGACACGCCTTCAAATCTAGTGGACTCCAAAAGCCACGCGGATTTCTTTGTTGCGAAGTTAGTCAAAGTGGGCGTTTGGTGGTAACATTTTTTTAAAATCTTGATTATCATAGCTTGGAATTTGGAAGGAACGCCATAATTGCACTCATGAGGTCACTTGTCCCAGCTTGTAGAGTTCACCGCTAGCAAAAAGAACTAGTCAACAGATCATGGAAATAGGTCCAAATCTCAAACTTACATGCTAAAGAAGGTCCGGTGAGTGGCATGACATAGAGTAACCCCTGTGTGTCTGAAGAATGGAGGAGGGTCTGAAGAACATAGAACATGACACTGCTCTCCAACCAAGGAGAGCACAATGGAGAGCATCCATACTTTTAATGTTTGGTTGTGGCAAGCTGTTGCCATGTAATTAAGTCACAGAAGGTAATTAATTCTCAAATCTTTATCCAGGAAAATATTAATGATCCAGTACATTTAGCTAGCTCCAAGCGAACGAACCTTCAACTCGTTTCAACCACAGAAAAGGTAAAAGTCTAGACACCAAAAAAACAAGAAATTAAAGGCCCTGACAGTAGCCCCAACAGGCCAGCACACAAGAAAAGGTTCTTTGACGACCTGACAGCAATCAAGCAGCAACTATATATCAGGCATTTGGCTGTGCAAGTAATGTCAGACAACAAAACACGATTGTGACACAAACAAACAGGTGCAACTTAAGATTTACGACCAATTGAGAAGCAGAGATCATACAAATAGCCTTTTGGGAAGAGAACAACTGAATAACAATTCAATAACAACATTACAATAAAAAAAACGAGACTTGGCTCAGAGAGCATGACGAATACAACGACGCACATACACGAATAATATAACACTTTCAGGAAACTAAATAAATAACGAGGGATCGATCGCACGATAGCTGGCGATGCAAGTGGCTGGAGATCCTCATCCATCCTGGCTTACATGGGAGGGAAAGGACTCGAACTGAACCCCAGATCGGAGGACTGCATCTGCCTCATTAGATCACCGCTGGAGAAGTTGGCGCCATCGTGCCTGGTGTTGCAACCGACCTGGGTGTCGACGTCCCCTCCGGAGCTCATAATGTCAAGCCAGCCTTCCTGCTGCTGCGGTGACGCGAGATACTGTGTCAGGGACCCCATGTCTATGCTGCCGGTGCTGACGCATGGAGCTGGCGGTGGAGCCTGGACATGGTTTTTCTCCATGCGTTCGCCGAGGCTCTTGAGGAGCTCGTCCACCTTCCAGCCAACGCAGACGAGCTCCTCGACGCTGAGGCCAACGAGGCCTGGGTGGTTGCCGTGCATGATGTTGTAAAGGAGGTACCTAATCTCACTGTCCTGGCACTCGCGGCGAGCCTTGTAGACCTGGTCCCGGAGCTTGGCGGTGCGCTGGGTGAGGAAGGCCTCCTGGTCCATCGTCTTCTTGCAATGCCCTAGCTCTGGCATGCTTTTGAATCCATTGAGGATATCGACCGCCTCGGCGTGGGAAGGGAATACCTTAGGCTCCGCCTCGCGCTCGCCGTACACCACCACGCAGGTCTTGACGTCGCACAGGGTGGCCAGCTGGGCCGCCTTGTTCATCAGCCCCCCGAGACGCTTCCTGAACCTAGTGCGCCGGGTGGAGTCATTGGCGATGTACTTGAGGGTCACCTTCTTGCGGACCGACTTCTTGCGAGCCATTGCCAGCAATGGGATAAAACTAGCCAAGGAAAGGAAAGTTGTTGGTTTAGGAAGGGAGGAGGGGTGGATTTATAGTGGAGGGATCGCCCAAGAATTAATTTCATGATATGGCGACAGATTGGAAGAATATTGCATGAGATTTACTGCCTTAATTGTGCCCATATGTAATTTTGGCACCCATTTAAACCTTTCTTTTATATCTTTTCATATTTGGCGTCCATTTAAACCTTTTAAATTTACGCGCGTATGACCGTTGGCCCCTTGTAACGCGAGAGCGTGGCATATTGTACGCGCGCAAATGGTTTCCATGCGACGTAACTGTTCGCTTTGCAAAGCTTCATGTGCGACGGATGTCATCCCATAAGCGCATAAGGTCGTGTAAATGAATTGGTCCAGCAAAGTCTCCGTTGCTCCTATCCAACACGCAAAAGAAAGACATTATTAACCAACGACCTGAAAAGCCATCGATGATGTTTGTAACACACAGGTGCTGGACCAGACTCATGTGCCGGCTGCTACTGAGGCTGTGCCTACAAGGGCATCCTGGGATGTACGGACTGAGGAGATCGGCACAAGGCGGAGCAGGGAAATTGTATCTGTTGAACCAGCTCCTTGTGGGATGGCATCCTAAGAGGCCGTGCCTTATGCAAGACTAAAGACGTCCTAAGAGGCCGTGAAAAAACTTGCGCCGCCATTGCTCAAGGAGGTGCAGGCGTTTACCTTACGGCCGAAGGCGGAGCCGTTATCCCCAAGCGCACCACCAGAGCAACCAAGCGGTCTTCTACCCAGAGCTCGGCGGAAGCAACACCGGCGGAGAGTGTGCTTCTGCGCACATTGGGATTGGTTCCGGAGGATCTCAAGGTGGATTACACGGCGGTGCAGAGCTCGAGAACTTTTTCGATTCCCCACTACGCGAGCAACACGTACGAGTGGTAGCCGCACTGTTCGGCAAGGCTATGCCCAAGTACGTTCTCATATCTGGAGCTGCATCGGAGATCTGAGCGCACTGAGTGCGCTTAGTTGGGTGCTGGAGTGAATCCCTCTCATGGATTTAAACCCATCGGTGACCTGCTGGAATGTTCGTGGCCTGAACAATTTGGCAAAGCGAAAGGCGGTGAAGGAGTTGTTGGCCTCGTGCAGGCCTAACTTAGTGTGTTTGCAAGAAACGAAACTCGATGTGGTAGATGACTTCTTAAGAATGCAATGTTGTGGCCCGTCGTTGGACGGTTATGCTTATTTACCGCTGGAGGAGATGAGAGGAGGCATTATTTTGGTTTGGGACACCACGGTAATGCAGGTTGATCACATCTGGAGGGGCGCTAACTTTGTTAGCGGGTTGGTGCACCCCAAGTGTGTGTGTGTGGGGGGGGGGGGGACTAGTGGATATCAGTGGTCTATGGACCAGAAGGCAATGAGGCCAAGATGAAATTCCCGGATGATCTTGTGGTGAGATGTGCGGCGTGTCCGGGGCCACGGATGGTTCTAGGAGATTTCAACATGATCCTCTGCGCATTTGAGAAGAGTACCAACAATATCAACTGTCCCATGATGAACAAATTTAGGAGTTTCATGGACAACAAGTTGAAGGAGCTTTACATGCATGGGTGTCGCTTCACATGGACTAGCGAGAGGGCAGCCCCAACACTCAGGAAGATAGACAGGTCCTGGTTTCGGTGGACTGGGAGTTAGCTCGGCCAGACTGCTTGCTGCAGGCGCTCTCCATGGGTGCCTTTGATCATGCACCCTTGCATCTAACCACTAACGCGGCATACTGGCCCAAGAAAAGATTGCGCTTCGAGACATTTTGGGTCAAGCTAGAAGGCTTTGAGCAGGCGGTGAGGGATGCTTTGGTTTGTGACCCGACAATCGTGGATCCCTTCAAGAGACTGGATACTCTTTAGAAACATAGGAGCTATGCTTAAGTCATGGGGAGAGAGGAAAGTGGGCAACATCAAACTACAAATGGCGGTTGCAATGCTCGTCATATTTCTCCTAGATCAAGCCATGGAAACAAGAGGGTTAACGGAGTAGGTGACTTGGTTGAGGAGGACCCTAAAACTATCCATTCATGGGCTAGACTCCCTGGAGCGCACAATCGAGCGGTGGAGGTCAAGATTCAGGTGGCTGCACGAGGGCGACGCAAATACGGAGTTCTTTCAAGCAATCAGCAACATCAAGAAATTATGAGAGTGGCATAGCATGGTGCTCTGTCTGTCGGACAACATCACATCACTAAGCTGGAAAAGTTATGACCATTCATTGGTATAGTACACACACCACTAACAGGGTAAAAGTGGCAGTACTCAGAGGTGATTCCCAACACAGATAATGAGTATAAAAAGCAAGATTCTAATACCAACAATACCAAATTCACCCTCTAATCCTCCACCC